TTTTCCATTCATTTACAACCATCGACCAAATTTCAACTCTACGAAATTCACTGACAAAAAAAAATACAAAAAAAAAAAAAAAAAAAAAAAGAAAAAAGAAAAAAAAAAAAAAAAAAGAATCAGCCGGAAGAAGAAATTTGAACGGAGGAGGACAGCCCACATTGACGCGATCGTTTCGCTCGAATGCTGACGCGGGTCTCAGCCGCGAGCAACGATCACGAAATCGCTTCGCCTCGGCTGGCACGAGGCGTAACGACAGCGTCCAACGATGGACCATCCTCTGCAAGAGAGACAGAGAGGAGAGCATCGTCGTCGTTACCATTGTCGCTTTTCTCCCTTACCTCGCCCCCCTCGTTGTTTGTCGTTCGATCGGCCACAGATTGGCGCGTCCCTGACTCGAATACGGAGGGAACGAATCTCTTCACCAAGTACCTGTACACTATCCCGGGTGGACTTTGCCTTCGGCCAGGTCCTCCCCCCCCCCCCCCTCCCCTCTTTATTATTGTAATATATAGAACGAGAGAACGAAAACCGACGCGACTCGAGGAAACGCAGGACTAAGTCTCATCTCGCCTCAGCGATAGGATCCTATCTTGACATATCAGTTACACGGTAACAAGCGGCCAAGGCCGTAATATTCCGACGATCCCGGAGGATCTTCTACGCAGCCAGCTGACCCTCGGTCGATCCACGAAGAGATCGATGCCCCGTTTCTTCGATCGGAGCATTCTCGTACTGGCTACATTCTGGCTGGGTCTTGTCGTACAGGCCCAATTGGTTAATTCTAAAGTGGAGAGAAAGAAAGAAGATATTGAGGTTGGAGAGGGTCAGGGGCTAGATGCCGATTGGAAGATACTAGAGAGCACTAGTCGTCGCGCTTTCCACGTTCATCCTTGGTTCTCCGAAATGATCACAACCTCGACAGCTACCTAATATCTTCTAGGACTAAGCCTATCCCTAATAAGTAAGACTTCGTAACTACTCGCTCGCTGACTAGAGCTCGTAGAGGATGTGAGAGACGAAAAAAACGTGGCAGGTGGCGCCACCGAGCGGATGAATGGTGAATTTTAACCCACAGAATGTTGATTTTGTTAATAGAAGGCTGGCCTTTCTTTGAGTTTGTCTTAAAAAAAAAAAAAGGATTAACGCAGTAGTAGGTACACGCGATACGTCGAAGCTTTTTTTTTCCCCGTTTCTTTCTCGCGTTCATACATGCACACATACATACGAACACACCTACATGCATACACCTACACACACGAGACACGCGATCGTTTTTAACCAAAGAGTATTGTTAGTCACTTGGTCGTTCGCGAAGCGAACTTTTCTTCTTCGTAAACGCGAGAATAAGAGAGATTGTGAACAAACAGCGAGAAATCATCGCGCGTCTTGGCTTCTAGCGATGGTAGATTTACTTAGGGGATTTAAACGAGGTGGAGAATTAAATTAGTTAGGATCTTGCAGCTCGATGTGTTTACGAAACCGAGACTAAGAGTCGAAAAAAAAAGAGAAAAAATAGGAAAAAAAATGAAAAATTTAAAAAAAAAGTCGAGACGAAATGAAGTAAAACGAAGTACTCTCTCGCTTGTATGTCTGTGAATCGCTCAAAGATCCACGCTCGAGCTCAAGTCGAATGGTCGTCTCGTTGGTCGAGCGTCGATCCTTTTCGCTCTCTTTCTCGAAGCATCGCGATCCATCATCGAAATTCAACCAGATACGTACACACAGATATATGTATATATACCTACCATATATATGTATATTTTATAAAAATCCTTTTCGAGCCTTGCGTTTTCTACGATGCATTTATTTCTTTCCTTTTTTTGATATCACATCTGACTGAATAACAAGGAAACAGGGAAAAAAGAAAAAAAAAAAAAAACAAAACAAGATGTTACTGAATCGATGAACCGACGAGGAAAGTGATCGTGACAACGTTTCGATTTCGCAGCGAGCGTCGAGCTGATCGAGAAAGAGGCGAAACACTCGTATCTGTGTCCGTAGGCAAATGAATCTAGTGAGTGTTTTTGGTGCTGGCCACCAAGCTTAGATCATTAAGAAGTAATTTACGTAAGGCTACGAGTACACGACTAGATATTAAGCTGAGGAATTAACCTATTAAACGAGAAGAATGAAAATTTAAGAAAAAAAAGCCAAAAAAAAAGAAAAAAAAACAGAAATATGCGAATCTTCTTTAGGGCGTAAGCGAAAACCAGGTAATTAATGATAATTAAACGTTTAACCGCGAAGAGAGGACGATGAGAATTAAGAGAAGAGGCGAGCTGTTCCATTTTTCAGATCTGTCGAAGTATGTTCCGCTCGATTTTGAGAATTAAAGAGAAAAAAAAAAAAAAAGAAACAACGCGAAAAGATCGAGAGAATCCGAGCGTGAACGACCGATCGAACGACGGAAACAAACAAACGAAAAAAAAAAAAAAAAAAAAAAAAAAAAGAAAGGAAAGAAAGAAAAAGTTCCAACGAACGTAACACGACACGCAGCCCGTTTTTCACGTCAACGTCAAATTAATTAGTTCGATAACAGGTTGTTTCCATCGAAGACAAGCAGCCAGGCAGAATGGGAAGGGGAGATGGCGGAGAGAGAGAGAGAGGATAAAAGAGCGCTAAAGAACAGATGCGACGCTCGGCCCGAATTACGCTTATAATCGGCGAATGCCGCTCGAATCGAGCCTTGAGCATTAACTACGACGACGAGCTAATCCCCCTCAACTTTTAACGACTCCGTCGCTCTCGCCGCCGTTATTTTCACTCGACCCGCCCCCGCCGGGCCAATGAAAATACCTACCTCGCGGTTGTCGCCGGGCCAATTCCGCGCGCCTCTGCGGCGAAACTCTGTCTGTGCGCGACGATTCCCGGCTTTTAGTCGCCTGTCATCCTCCACCGTCCTTCCCCTCCTTCAGCGAATTAAAAGAACCAGCCTCCACCTCTGTGCCGCGTTCGTCTGTTCGGCGAACAGATCGAAGTACGAAAAATTGGTCACGGTATCGATCGATTTCTTTCTCTTCTTTTCCTTTTCTTTTCTTCTTCTTTTTTTTTTCAGGGATATCGGGGAAAGATTATTCAACGGGAGGGAGTTTAACCTTCTAAGGACAGGGTATTTAAATCGTTCTTCGCTGGTGGACGGATATTTAAATCGCCAGGCGTTTAAGTTTAATTTTACATGTTTTCATATAAGTATGTTGTAGTTCCTACATTTTCAAAGTTAATCAAATCAAACAAAGACTCAAGCTACTCGAAAACAAGAAGAGAGAGAGACCGTCAATATATCGGACATTCGATTATCTCAGATATTATATAGGTGTCGATATATCGGACGTTAGTACTTAGAAGGTTAACCCGTTGCGCTGGCAACTGGTTCGCGGACCATAACGAGCGACCGAACCGTATACAATAATTCGTCGCTTCCTTTTTCATTTAAACTCGTCGGTACGATGTCACCGGATAGAAATTATTAAGAAGTGATAAACTTATCATTTGTTTCGCCTGAGTTACATTTAACACACTTAAAGCATTAATATACTTAAATTACATTTAAATATATTTAAAACTGAGAAAATGTTGCAATTTGGGAAAAAAAATTCTTGACACGGCTGACGGACTTGCTTACGTTATTAATTTAAAGAATGGGAATTTGTTTTATCTATTATAACGAATACTTCAACTTTTGATATTTTGTATCCAAAAGTTTTTTCATAATGACGTGGTCTCAGTCTAAACGTTTATGAGAAACAATACAATTTATAGAATGTTGGTGCATTTTTGGAAAGTCAACAGAACATGTATGATAGGCGAAGATGTATGAGATATTCAAAGTAAAGTGTTTATTACATTGTTTAATAGATGAGATAAATTTCTATCTAAATTACGTTCTTTCATTCAATTGTAATACAAATAAGGTGTCACTAAGTTATCTTATCATATTTACTAGATAATAATTTTGTATCTGTAACAACTTACGTTACAAATTAGAAAAGCAGAAACATTAATTCGCAGACTCAAGTTGAAAATTAAAAACGAAATTCTTCTAATGAAATATTTAATAACATCGTGTAGAAATGTCGGCTTACGAACAAACTCTGGCTCATGCAATAAACGAAAACTATGCGTAACAATAAAATAACAACGAAATAATTACAGAACAACACCGAACTCTTTCTGTCGACTGTTTCTCATTTACACCTCTATCGCCAAATTTAGTTCAACTCTTAGCATTGTGATTTTCTTTTTTATTTTCCCCGCGAAAAATTTCGATCGATGCGTGTTTGTTCGTACTTCATACAAAAATGAGCAAAAAGTTCCCAGTGTAAGAGTCTTTTTATACAAACGAAAAGATACAAATGTCAGAATACATCATTCACAAATAAATGATTATATTCATAACGTTTTCAAACGAAACATTTTCGAATTGAAACGAAACGAGAAATTTTGCGAATTTCGCGGATGAAATATTAGTTTGTAAAAAAAAAAAGGGAACGCACGATGATTTCGATTCGTTCGCCCGTGATACCAAGGACACCGTTGATTTACTTCAATATTTGTTACTTGCGACTAACTGCAATTTATTCGTATATTTTTTTCTTTTGCCTCTAAGAGTCTGTCGAAGATTTTGCTTTCGAGAATCTTCGCGAGAAACCAGCCGAAGAAAAATACATCGGTAAATAGAAAACGCCAGCGGTGAAACTTGCCGTTGCGAGATTCCACGGTGAAACTTCCGAGAGGTTTCCAATAAGATTGTGCAGACGATTGCGGCGTGTAATCGTGGGAGAGGTGAGGGGCAGGCTATGAACGAAGAGGGACACGTGTTAAGGTGTGATTTGAACAGCGAAGACGCGCTAATGCCCCGTCTATTTGTCCTCCGCGCGTCGATTTAGCTTTGATCCACGAGCGTGTCCCGTCACGTTAACTACACGGCTAACACGCCGCTACGCGCCGCTAATTTCACTTCCGGTGCTCGTGCGCGTACACCATCCCGTATGCACATCGATGACGTCTGCCACGAATGAAATTCACGGTCACGTCTCTCGATTTCGTACGTACCACCGTGCATACTATGTACGTTGTTTTGTTCCACGTGAATTCACTCCGCGAGTGAAATTATAAACGCCGATCGTGATGAGGATGGTATATAACGCTCGAGTTTCTTTCTCTCTTTCTTCTTATAATTTATAATGAATAAATAATTTATATAATAGTTATTACAGTATATAGTATATAATAGTATGATAGTTATTACAGTATATGGTATATAATAGTATGATAGTTATTACAGTATATAGTATATGATAGTACGATAGTTATTACAGTATATAGTATATAATAGTATGATAGTTATTACAGTATATAGTATATAATAGTATGATAGTTATTACAGTATATAGTATATAATAGTATGATAGTTATTACAGTATATAGTATATAATAGTAACAGTTATTACAATATATAGTATATAGTATTACAGTATATAGTATATAATAGTATAATAGTTCTTATAGTATATAATAATATAATAGTTACAGTATAATAGTAATTATATAATAGTTATAGTATAACAGGTATTATAGTATATAGTATATAGTATATAATAATATAATAGTTACAGTATAATAGTAATTATATAATAGTTATAGTATAATAGGTATTATAATATATAGTATATAATAGTATAGTAGTTACAGTTATAGTGATATAATAATTTATATAATACTATATATTTATATATAATGAATAATTTATAATGAAATGAGAGTTTTGTTAATTCGTAACTTCGACGAGGAAACGATGGAGGAAAATGCGCGGGAAAGAGAAGAGATTTTTGCATACCACAATTTACTTCCTGATTGAGAGTAAATAAGGAAACAGGAAATAGTTAAATACTTGAATATGCGGCGGTAAAGAAGAACAAAGTACAACTACAATGTGACAATTACAGTAACACACGATTGGAATATAAATAAAAAAATATGAGCAACTACGATATAAACAATTACAAAACACGATTACATTATAGATGTATACGTATTTCATAAAATTTCTTGAATGGTACTGATACCTTTTTTCGACATTAACATCGATTTCTGTATAGACAGAAACATAATTGTAAGAATCATGATTTATATGATTTATATCAATTATATCATATGAATTATATCAAATTATTCCGATCTAAATTATTATAAATCATATAATATTAATATAATATAAATATATAACTATAATGATTTATATGAGAATATTTCGATACGTTTAGTATAAAGAATTATTCTTTAACTTTGTTGAAAGTTCTGAATAAAGAAAATAATTAATTGACAATATTTTATTCATCTTTTCATAAAATGTCATCTTCTTAAAGAATATTATATTAAGCAAACGATATATCTTTTGAGGAATTCACATTTGATAATATTATATTATCAAACGACTGAAGAATACGACAGATTGAAGTTTTCTGAACGAGAGAACATGCGAGCAAGAGTAACGACAATAACTAAAACGAAATCTCGTCGAAAATAACATGTTTATCATGCAAGAGCTGATCGTATCGATAAAAATGGCGGAGGCGAAAGTTGACACGCCCTGTGCAACGCTAGTTCCGTTGTTTCACTTCCGGTACTCGTGCGCGTGCATCATCTCGCAGATGATGAACGAAATTCGCAGTCACGTCTTTTGATTTTGTTCGTCAATGTAAATGTTACGCATGTTGTTTTGCTTCACGTGAATATCGCACAACAATCATAGACGATCGTGCTCGGGATAATATTCAGAAATTTTCTTCCCCCAATTGAATGATCATCGAAGTAAGAGGAAAGAAAATAAACGTGCAAAACATATATTAAACAACGTGAATTTCTACGAAAATTTCACAGTTGCACAAAACTGCAAGCTGCTGAGATTTTTCGATAATGAGCCGCGATAATTTAAAATTTGCAGTCTTTGAATTATCGATACGGAAGGAACAGTTGTTTATACTTTTTGTCGGAAAAATTCTGCGAACGTACGTGTTTCGAATATTATTACAAGAACATGGCATTTTGACGTTGTACTCTAAGGAAATTACAAAAGAAAAGAGCTTTAAACACATTTTTCCTTAAAATTGTGGTATTTTTCAATTATATCATTGTCGCAGCGATGATAACTAAACTACGGATTTTTGATATGAATTTGTATCTTCAAAAATAAAACAAAAAGAAATTGAAAAATTGTTTTACGTATAAAATATTATTGAAAACACTCTTTATACATACGTATCTTGTTATAATTATAAAACATATAATTAAAAAATAAAATAATTACAATTATAAAATAAAATATATAATTTGTTCTATAAATTCTAGCGATGATATACAGAAAGCACACGAATCTTGCAACGAATCTGTTGAAATTTACAATAATTTACACGCTCGTGCAACTATACGAAACCAATATTATGCTATATAGTAGACGAGCATGCTTCTTGTCCATTTTTGGAAGTGGATCGTTTATGAGCCAAGAGGGTTAACGTTTCGCTGATCAAGCGAATCAACCGAAAGATGGGAACATTTCGAAAGTTCTCCTATTTCAGCTCCCCCATGTGAACAACCCTCGTAATTCTCCCTCGGGGGAGGCTGTCCTCGATCTAAGAAAGCCATGGTGAAAACCTTGACCTCTCTCGAACGCTCCTCCCCCTTTCTGCCTACTTTCACCCTGCTATTTGTACTCGTTGGCGTTCGCTCGAATTTCCATGTATCAAATAACCCTTGGGGGGATGACTGCAAGAAAGCACCGGGTGGGGTTGGTAGATGGCTATCAGCGGAACGGGCTCGATCGTCGGCTCGACTAACGAGCGAATCGTCGTGGCTTGAACGTTGTCACGCGACCTTCCTCCCTTACTCCTATCCGCCGTCATTTCCAACTCCTTTTCTTAAACGTATGCATGACTCTCGACCGAGTCGGCCCTGTTAACATATAAATTGCCGCTTAACGGCGAGACAATCAGTTGCCGTGGCAGTCGTGGCGCGAAGGTGACGATGGTCGGTTAAAGAGAAAGGATACTCAAAGACGGCGGGAGGGCGGCGAGTCACGTGACGGACGAAGACGGGCAAAGGAGACGAAGACGAATCGCCGAAGAGGCAGACAGGCATCGAACAAGCAAGAGGAGGGCGGAGGGGGAGTGAGGTAGGATTGAAACGAGCGACAGACAGATAAAGAGGAGGGAGGGGGGTGGGTGGTGGTGAGAGACGAACAACGCGTGGGACAAGCGTCTGGAAGCTGGATAGGACTGGAGGAAGAAGAGAAATAACACGCGCTGGAGGGTAACTCGGGGGGGGGGGGTAGGTGAGCGGATGGTGGAGGGGATTCAATTCAATTTCCTAAGAAACTCTTTAGTGTTTGAGATACAGCCGGCGAAAGGATGCGCGCTAGTCTGAAGAGAACGAACGAAGGAACGAACGAACGGAGACGCGACGGGCTAACGAAGAAGCGACGGCGTGGAGGAGAGGGTGGGTGAAAATGAACCGAAAAGAGACGAACTGCCTTCTCCCTCGTGCGTTCACGGTAACGGGACATAGGTAAAACGGGATAGAATCGTTGGATGTGCGACGAAGGGAGGCGAAAGAGGAAAGAGATAGGTTCAGCGATAGGAAGAAACAAACTGGAGGAGGGGAGGGGGCGAGGGGGGGGGGATCTAGGAAAAGCGCAGAAAGAGGGGTGGTCCCGTAGAGCGCGCGGAGAGCGAGAGCGACGAAGGTTGCGAACCGAGGGCGACGAGGAGCGCGAACAAGCGTGGTTCACTCGCTGGGCGAACGGCGGCGCGAGGATGGAAGTAGGAAGGAAGAAACCCGAAAAGAGAGGCAAAGAGAGGCACTGTTCTTCTTTCTCCTTCTCGACGCTGGCAACCGGAATGGAGTAAGCAAGAGGGGTGCGAGGGAGGGTGACTAACTGACCGAGGGTGCCAGGAGCGCAGGGGAGTAAGGATTCTGTGCGCGGGCGCGAGACTGGCGCAAACTCTTCGTGCAGCATCCCTCGTCAGTTGCAAGTCAGGAACTGTCGCGTCCGCGTGGCGTGCGAGTGGCCGAGATCGTTCGAGAGAGAGAGGGAGAGGGAGAGAGAGAGAGAGAGAGAGAGAGAGGGAGCGCGCGCGCCCGACTCTCTCAGTGCCGCGGTGTATTTTGGTGTGCACGGATTTCGCCGGATTTCTGACCGTAACGCAGCCGACCGTTCGCACCGGAACAGGAACTACCAGCGGGGAGGGCATCGGTCGACCGGGGCCCGATGACATTTGACCGCGTGGCTCGCGTCCCTTGACACTGTTCGCCACGTTGCAGTAACGGAGAACGCTCCGGCCGCGGTGAACGTCCACCTTCGCAGCCGATGATCGTCGCCGCTCGAGGATCTAGCAGCGCTACCAGCATACCCAGGATGGATAAAGACGTTCGACGGAAGTGCGGAAAAGTGCGTCGTGCTCTGTTCCATCTGCTGCTGATAGTGGGGGGTAAGTTTCCTCGGGGTTTCTGCGAAATCGTTCGAACATCGACCGAGTTACACAAAGTTCACGAAAATGCTTACGAATGAAGTTTTCTTTTTTTTTTTTTTTTTTTTTTGAGGAAATTTAAACAACGAACTGAACTTGGCTATGCGCCATCATACGGGGTTCGTACTACCCCCTTTGGTTCGGAGTTGATCTTCGTCAAGGAGAACCGACGTCGATTCTTGGAGTTGCGTTTGTCGATTCGGGCTTGTTCGATCCCCGGTCATTTCCGGAAGCAGGATCTGCTGATGCAGGAAAGAGCCTGGATTACTCGCGATCCTTCCCCGAAATGGGGATAGTTTCAAGTGGCTCTACGCTGTCTGGCAGCAATTGCATCGTTACCGTGACTTTTGTCCGCTCTTCGAGGATCTCGATGGGATTTCCAGTTTCCTATCGACGAAGTTATCTATTGGTATCCTTACGCTTTACTCCTTCGAGCAATTAATGTCCGTTACGGCGACGTTATCTAACATTCGATGGCGCTCGAAACGTTTATTCTTCGTTCGGCTTCGTCCCCGAAAATTCTTTTTAACGTACCAATTTTCTCTTTCTCGTGGCACGCAGGTTTTGTTCGAAAGAAACGCACGTACGAGGTCCAACTTCTTTCTGGAGAAGAATTTTCTATCTTCTACGAATTCTTCTATCGATTCATTTTCCAATGAACGACCTACTTTTGATCATCTCGAGCGTCGATAGAATTTCTTCATTTTTTTCTTTTTCTTTTTTTTTTTTTTTCACCGAGAACTTCTCCGATTTTAACGAGCTTCTCCAGTCAGGAGCCACCGACGGTTTCTAGAATTTTCTGAATCAACTGCCACCCGATCCGCGGCTTTTCCAGTCAACTGATTCGTATCCCGAGACTGGATACGTACCAGGCAAAACCTGACGTATACCAATCCTCCAGACTCTTTCTACACGCAAACAAATTCTCAAACATTCGTCTAGATGGATATTGAAATCCAGTCCCGTCGCCTGCTGCGACTCGATCGAATGTAAATAATATTTCTCGCGACAGACTCCAGAAAGACAGACTCCAGAAATTTTTATGGAGAACGGATGATTCGTCTTTTCTTTCTTTTTTTTTTTTTTCCTTCTCGATGACGATCAGAGTCGTTCACGGTTTGTTTAAAATTCGATCTCACGAGGTCGATTTTTGGTACGACGTGTACCGCACTTCTCCTAGTTTCCGACATTTTTCTTCTCACATCGTTTTTTCTTCTGTATGATATTTTTATAAGAACGATTAAATATTTTTGGTGTCGTGCTTTAGAGTGACATAAGATCTACGTTATTACAATATTCTGTAATAATTATCAGAGAATGGGGATTATTCTTAACAAAGAATATACGTAGTTTTCTCCAATTAAGCAAATCAACAATCACCGAGTTATTTTACGAAGAAAATTTGCAACATTTTGCTTGCTTTACGAAGAAAGTTTGTACTTCCGGTGGTGTACAATCTTCTAAATTAACAAATTTGAGGAACGACTAGGTGCTTCATAAAGAAACGACAATTAATATCAATTACGTTTAATGCACTTTATAATTCTCGTAAATCATCGAGCCAGACCGCTTGCTTTGTAAAGTAGATCGTACACCGTAGAAATTTGTACTTTCGAAGACGTGTCATCTTTTAAACTAATAAATTTAATAAATTACTACAGGTTTCGTAAGAAAAGAAACGACAACGAATATCAATTACGTTTAACGTGAATTAATCGAGTCAATACTTATCAAGGTAGGCCATTTGCTTTGTGGAACATCTTCGAGGTTCATAATTTTCTAAACTAACAACAAATTTTGCAAATTATTACACGCTTCGCGGAGAAACGATAATGAATATTAATTACGTTTAATCTACTTTATAATTCTTGCAAATTAATCAAGTCAATATTCATTGAGTTGGATCACTTGCAGTGCAGAGAATATTATACAACATAGGAATTTGTACTCTTGATTGTGTACATAATCCACTGCACTAATAAATTTAGCAAATTATTGCATGCTTCATAGAAAAATGACAATTACATTTAATGCACTTTATAATGCCAGCAAATTAATCACAACTCAATACTCATCGAGCTAAATCACTTGCTTTTCGAAGAACACTATACAACGTAGAAATTTGTATTCTTAATTGTGTATAATCTACCAAACTAAGCTTCATAGAGAATTCGCAACGAACATCAACTAGACGATTCTGATAAATTAATCAAGCGAATATTTATCAAGAATTGTTTCGCAAAGAATACAACATGGAAATCTGTAGGATGTACTGAAAGATTTACCAACAAACTTAACAAATTAATATACACTTAGAGAAACAACAATGAATATCAATCACGTTTAATATATTTCGTAACTCTCTTAAATTGATCAGGTCAATAATCATCGATCCGGATCATTTACTTTGTATTATACAAATGTGTAATTTCGCAATCGAAAGAAAGCGTCTCCCAAACCATTCAATCGTTTCAAATTTCACAAATGATTACACGACTGCGAGAAATATAATACTGTACTATCAACATACTTCACGTACAAAACTAAACTAGGCGAAATCTTGAAATCGTCGTTTTATCTTCGTAAAAGATCAAACACTGCTTGTTCCTAAGTTTCAAGAGTAACCCCAAGACGGTTCCATTTATCCGTCTCAAAACTTTGTTGATTTCAATCTACTAATTGCTAGTCTTTGTTCACCATCCCGTGATATGATATATATGTACATATATATACACTCATTATTATATATATTTCAAATATTAGTTTACATATTACATATAATAATATTATATACACACACACACACACACACACAATCAAAATGTGGTGAGATTGAATGAATCTGTTCTCATCTGTTAAAATACTTTATTTTATTTTGTTTCTTATTTTTTTATTTATTATTGCGTTTTTTTGTTTTATAATATTTTATTTATCTCGTCCCTTTCCAGAAACTTCTTTCTCCAATCTTCTCTTAGCCAGGAGACTGTTCCTTCTCCGCAATATCGAACATTGCAATTGATTTGTTCGACATTCAGCCCGGAGAACAGCGTAGGAGCATCTTGACTTTAATCTGGTAATTGCGATCACGCGTTGCCCCCATTGTCTCTCCCTTTATTTCTCAATCTGTCCCCCCCCCCCCTCCTTTTCTTTTCCGTTGTTCTTTTCAATTTCTCGTTGTCGTTGTTCTCGGGGAACAAAAGAAAGAAAGAAAGAGAGGATGGAAGACGAACGCTGGAAGAGAAGCGAGCCGCTCACGCGATACACTTATTTCGTTTTCGGTGGCGGAGAGGAAGAAAGTGGATCCAAGCGTTGGCTGAGCGCGAACGGAAGTCTGCCCCCCCCCCCTCTTCGTCGGTTGTTTAAGGGGAAACTTCCCGAGTAAATTCTTAATTCAACGTGGCTGGCGCGAGGCGCGCGTCTCGCCCGAGATACCCGCTGATCTAATTCAATTTGCCCGTTTTCTTCCTCGCCGTCACGCTCGGAAACGAACCGTCCCGAACCGCGTGGTATGGCGAATTTAATTCGCCGATTGTGCAAACCCCTCCCCCTCCCCCTCTCCTTTTCGTGTGGTTCCTCCGAGAAGATTGCGTCCACGTGTTTTTTCGGTGGTAGGATGAAAGCGTTCTTTCGCAGGCGCGCAACGTGTTCGTTTCCCTTCTCGTTCTTCTCCTCCTCCGTGAAAATCAGGCGGCGTTGTATCCAGTGAAATATCATTGAATTTTGGCGTGGAGTTTCTTGAAATTTGTCGAAGGTTCTGGAATTGATTTTTATGGTGCTATAATGAAAGTATTCTTTCATAAACGCACGTGTTGATGAGTTCTTTGTAAGTTTCTCTTCTCTTCGTGAATATCAAGCGGATGTGCGTTGTATCCAGTGAAATATCATTGAATTTTGGCGTGGAGTTACTTGAAATTTGTCGAAGGTTCTGGAATTGATTTTTATGGTGCTATAATGAAAGTATTCTTTCATAAACGCACGTGTTGATGAGTTCTTTGTAAGTTTCTCTTCTCTTCGTGAATATCAAGCGGATGTGCGTTGTATCCAGTGAAATATCATTGAATTTTGGCGTGGAGTTACTTGAAATTTGTCGAAGGTTCTGGAATTGATTTTTATGGTGCTATAATGAAAGTATTCTTTCATAAACGCACGTGTTGATGAGTTCTTTGTAAGTTTCTCTTCTCTTCGTGAATATCAAGCGGATGTGCGTTGTATCCAGTGAAATATCATTGAATTTTGGCATTGAGTTTCTTGAAATTTGTCGACGGTTCTGGAATTGATTTTTATGGTGGTATAATGAAAGTATTCTTTCATAAACGCACGTGTTGATGAGTTCTTTGTAAGTTTCTCTTCTCTTCGTGAATATCAAGCGGATGTGCGTTGTATCCAGTGAAATATCATTGAATTTTGGCGTGGAGTTTCTTAAAATTTATCGAAGGTTCTGAAATTAATTCTTATGGTGGTAAAATGAGAATATTCTTCCATAAACGCACGTGTTGATGAATTCTTCGTAGATTTCTCTTCTCTTCGTGAATATCAAACGGATGTGCGTCGTATCCAGTGAAATATCATTGAATTTTGGCGTGGAGTTTCTTGAAATTTGTCGAGGGTTCTAGAATTGATTTTTATGGTGGTATAATGAAAGTATTCTTTCATAAACGCACGTGTTGATGAGTTCTTTGTAAGTTTCTCCTCTCGTTCCTCTTCTCTTCGTGAGTATCAAGCGAATGTGCGTTGTATCAGTTAGTGGATCGAATTACAAACACACTGATTATTGATAGATTTAATATAAATTATGAAACACATATAACGTTTAGCTCTCATCGATTTACTCTCTATCTCGTCTCTCATGCTTTGCGTCTGGGTATCTTGCCGATCACAACTGTTTCTCGTCACCATGCCCGCTCTCAATTGTTCTCGCATACATCTCTCTCATTCGTTCTTTCTTTTGCCATGAAATATATCAAACACTCAGATCACACCACACCACAATTATATACACATTCTCGCCACACTCATCCTTCCATACAAACATTATGTATATTCACTCATCAATATATAACTATCTATGGTAACCACTAGTACAGTATCCAGTGAAATATCATTGATTTTTATGGTGGTATAATGAGAGTATTTTTTTTTTTCACACGTATTAATGAGTTCTTTGTAAGTTCCTTTTGTTCGTAGAAATCAAGTAGAGTTATGCTGAGTGAAATTCATTGAATTTTGACATGGAATTTATTGAAATTTGTTGACTGTTAGAGTTACATTGAATTTCGATGTGGAGTTTTTCTGAAATTTATAACACTATTCTAGAGTTAGTATTACATTCTGGAAGGTTCGTCATTCCTCTCGCTCTTATTCTTTCGTAAGAATCGTATAGAGTTATGTTGGGGAAATTTATCGAATTTCAACAATATTTTAAAATTAATTTCTACACATTTTTACTCTTTGGTATTCTTAGATATTGTTCTACGCAAAGAGTCCGTCATTTCTTTTGTTTCAAAAATTGTATGGAGCTGTTAACGAAATCGCATTATTAGAATCAAACAACATTTACGTCTCTTATTGAAATTTTACATTTTTATTTCCGAACATTTTAGATACACGCGTATCTATGCAAAACGCATCTAACTGTGAACGAGAAATGATCAATTCGATCATGCTCGTAAATGTCCATGAGCCACGCGTTAACTATTATTACTTTGGACATTGGTGAAGATCAAACTGCTAGTTACGAAATGTCTCTAACCTCCCACCCTTCAAAAAGAAAAAAACGAAATGTTTCCAAAGGGAGTTTGATCAACGGAATTAAATTTCATTTAGAATTGACGCAGAATTAAATTTTACATCAGTCGTGTGACAAACAGTTCTGTTCGAGATTTAAAATCCGTGAATAATAAATTCGAAAATTTCTGATTTTGCCGGTTGGGGAACGGTCGAAATTGTAATGCCGGCGCCACACGGGGCCGAGGGCCGGGGATAATCAATTTCGAATTTCCGATTCCACGTTGAAATATTTAGGTCTGCCGACGTTCGCTCTCGACATTCACGAATTACGGGTGGTAAATTCGGAAGTTTCGAGCGCCACGTTGGCACGCAGTACGTCAAACAGAATTTCTCGGTAGCAATTGACAAGACGTCGCGAGACGTTCGAGTAAACGATCTAAGGGGAAGGGGGAGGAGGTAAAGGGTAGAGACGTTTTATAAACGACGTTTGCGTTCGCCCATAAAAATGCAATAAACGAAGTGGACGCGTTGCAAATGCAAACCCATAAACGGGGTAGCCACGGCTATTAACTTCGCCATTTGCCGTTCCCTATTTGGCCAGAAATGATATTCATTTATTTCCGGACGGGAAAATACGTAGCGCGCACAGTGCAAGGGGAAGAAATCGGTGTCATAAGGGGCAACAGATTTTTCCAACAGCGTCCATTACAAATTATATGAACTCTTAATAAACGGACGTGATCTGATTTATTCTGTCCATGATGTACAGCCTGCTTTGAAAACAAATTCGCGTATCTATTGACGTGTTTTGGGGTAATATGAAATAATATAAAAACTTTGAACATAAATAATAATACACTTTATTGAAACGAACTTTTTCTATTCGACGGTGGAATATTTATGCGATAAGAAATTATTGTAGTAAAAAGAATCTCTCTTACCGACTATGAGTATAACTCTGTTAATCTCTTAAAAATTTCAGATTAGATTTTTCTTTGAAAGTCAAAACAAAGAAAAACAAATAAGGAAGAAACACAATAGCTGATAATGAAGTATCAGGAACAACAAAAAAGGATTACAAAAATTACTTCATCACTGACAATGTCGTTTTCGAATATCAAACAAGTAAATAAATATGTTTTTTATTAAATTCACCGAACTAGTTTCCAAATTTGATTGACTAGACTACGAAGAAGATTGAATACATAACATATATGTTGAAAGCACAAAATTAGTGAAAAAGAAAGAAACAATGAAACAACAACAAAATTACGATTAAAATAAAAATTCTATCATTTGAAAGGTCCATTACAATTGTCCTTACAATCTATGACAAAGACAGTTGTCAACAAGTACATACAAAAGTAAATCTCTAAAAATCGAAGCACGATAACACAACGAAGAACACGAAGAACACGATTAAACGAATAATTCCTTTCATGAAAAAAAAAAAAAAAAAAAAAAAAAACGTGGAATTTCAGTTCTTATAAAGATAATAGAAATTTGTTTCATCTACTTTACTCGTTAATTTCATTGATAGGAGACTTATATCTCAGTCGTCGACAATTTTATTATTAAACTGTTATTACACAGTAATTTTTGAAAAATCGAGCCTGCTACAGAATTGTCTTTCGCGACTGTAAATTTCGAATATTATTCCTGGATATTTCCGATAATAATTTTCATCATTACTTCTACGTGTAGTATATAAAAATTCATCGTCTAACTCAACAAGATATTCTATAGAGAAAGAGAGAGTCCAATTAAAACAGACACCCTGTATGCACGTACACGAGAACGATGAAATAACATTTTCTTGAAATTGATACGGTCCCTCGTTTTCCCCGGCGAGAAGCAATTTGGTGAGATTTTTTTTTTTTCGAAAAATTTTTGAACCGGCTTTCGTTTCAGTTTCTGTTTAAATAAAACGATCTTGTTATTTCGATAATTTTTTTTCATATATTCCTCTTTTTGGGACCTTTCTTTTTAACTATTTTTTTTGGTTGGTGAAGATTGTTGTTACAAGCGTATGTAATTAGAGAAGTTTCTCTTTATCTAAAAAAAATATATATATATTGTTGCTTTGTTTTTTCGCGTGTTCTTTCGTTGTTAGTTAGAAGTATGTTAAAACGAACGTGCTCGTAGGAGTATTGCAGATGTTTTCTCTTTTAAATTCGAAATAGAGTCGAAACATGCAAATAACATTTATGAAATGTGAAAATTTAACATATAAACATATATATATTAAAATTTGACATATAAACATATATATATATATATATATATACAGAAGCATGTGTGGAAAAATGCTTGAGAAACAATAAATTTAGACATCAAAAATACATTTAAATTTCAATAAATTCTAAATATTCTAATATTCTTTCTAATATTCTTTCTAAATTGGACAAGATTAATTTACAATTATCTTGCTTAATGCTTTTACTAGACTGTCTCAAATATATAAACAAATTCTTTATTAAGCAGATAATTATCATTTCTATCAAATATATCTATTTATTTCATACTTGTTTCATAACCATTTTTATTAAACAAATTTTCATTTAGGTTCTACTGTTCTTATTTTACAATTATCACATTACAATAATACAGTAATATAACAATAACATTGTCATACATCAAATTACACTACAATCTATTCATCCACTTACTTATTTAACTATGATTCTCCTTTATGTAACAAGCTCTCATCCTCCCCCCCCCCCCCTTTTTTTCTTTTATTCACAGTTAAATAAATTTAGACATCAAAAATACATTTAAATTTCAATAAATTCTAAATATTCTAATATTCTTTCTAAATTGGACAAGATTAATTTACAATTATCTTGCTTTTACTAGACTGTCTCAAATATATAGACAAATTCTTTATTAAGCAGATAATTATCATTTTTATCAAATATATCTATTTATTTCATACTTGTTTCATAACCATTTTTATTAAACAAATTTTCATTTAGGTTCCACTGTTCTTATTTTATAATGATCACATTACAATAATATAACAATAACATTGTTATACATCAAATTACACTATAATCTACATTTAAATTTCAATAAATTTTAAATATTCTAATATTCTTTCTAATATTCTTTCTAAATTGGACAAGATTAATTTACAATTTGCATTCAAAACATACTGAAACATAAAATAATATTTCGCGATATATATTCACGAACACATTACACGCTCGATCGGAGGACTAAATTTTCTTTTTAACGCGAGCAATTACACACCGGGATTATTTCGATTTATTTACTTTGTTTTTTGCTCGTTCGATTTTAAAAGCGTCGGGGGTTTACATTACGCGCAGCGAAGGCAAAGAATTTCGATAAAAGTGCACGTGAACGGAAATTGTTTCGTCGCCGTTTCGACGAATGAAAAAACGGATTGTTTGGGAAAAAGATTGTTTGCACGTGTTGCCGTTGTCGAAACATACTCTTCTTTTTTTTTTGTTCGCCAAAGTTTTCCCATGAAATGTGTATTTTTTTGCTTTTCCTCCCCCCTCCGTAGGAGAAACAAATATAAAAATCGGTGGAAAACATGATACTGCACGGACCGATGTGTTTTCCCTTTCAGATTGGGAACTTGTTGCTGAATTGTATAAAAATCAATTTATTTCATTTATTATATCTTTTTATTTATTCTTTTATTTTATTTGTACAAGCGCGCTTCGCCGTGTGTAATTTTGTGTGTAGTAACATGCTAGTTTTAAGAATGAAAACCTGTTTGCTTGATTACGCAATGGGCATCGTATATACTAACGTTGGTCGATTTTCTTTTTTTTTTTCTCGAGCACAGACGACTACAACAGGGTGGTTTTGGATCCTATCGAAGGCGAGCCTGACTCCGATTACGTTAATGCCTCTTACGTAGATGTAAGTAAGAACGTACATGCATGCTTGCACTCTGGTTTTGTTGGACTTTCCAAAATGAGAAAGATCTCATACTCTCGTCTTTATATTGCATGACTTTAATTAAATCTCCGCGAAATTCCACGAAGCTGCTATCGTCGATTATAGTCTTTCACTTTGTTAGCAGAAATTCTAGATAAACCTTCGTTCGATCCTCGAGTCGTTTATGATCCGTAATTCGGTTCGTTACGTCGACGTGATTGCGAACAATTGGCATTGAAAGTTATTTCTTCTCAGATTTATAAATTTATGAAAGACGAAGATAGTGAATTTTAGAAATACTATATTCGTAATTTAATTGTAAAATGGTATGACAAAAATTCGCAGTATCGAATATTGTTAAATTAATAACAGTGTATTCTGAAAAAAATAACAGCAAGCAAATACAGTTCAAAAATTATAAACACTTGGCTATCCTTCAAAGAGATGAAATATTGTACTTGGAATTTATATTGAATAAATGAAAAATGACGTTTTTTTTAACATTCTCACATCGTGACTGATGGATATTAAAGATCAAGATCAAGGTTGTATGGTTTCCTTAAATTTCCAGCACGAAATCATCTAATTTGAATAATCCATAATCGCAATACCCGAAATAGATTGCTCCAAAGCGATTAAATCTTCGATATTTCTACGGAGTAGAAGTTCTACTTTTTCTTTTTTCTTTTTTTTTCTCAATAATTTATATTAACCACTATGAAACATCACATCTTTAGATGAAATATTTCAAGCAACAAAGATAACTATCATCTTTTATTACATTTCTTCATCTTTCTTTACTATAAATTCTATTTGACGAATCATAGAGAAACTTGTCTCTTCTTTGACTCTTTATAATACTTTTTCACTTCCACGAATGAATATTAATTATAACAGTAAATTTGTTTTAATTAAAAATAAGTTTATTTTAATTAAAAAATTAATCACTTGTGTACAGATCAATCACCAATTTCCATAGAATAGTATAATAATGCAAAACCACTATTCTCTGATTAATCAAGTTTGTTAAATTTCAGGTTCATTGAATTAAATCGACACGATTTTTAATTAATGAGATTTCTTTCTACATCGAAAAACACTCGCCTGCAAATTTCTCAATATTTCCAACTATCTCATCCACAACAAGCACGATCATTTTCATTTTTCAAAATCAAAAGTCAAAGTAAAAATCCGCTCGAACGTGAATTTCCAGTTATTTAGTTTTCAAGCTGACAAATCAGATTTTCAAATCGTTCGAATTGAGATACATTCTCGTTTTAATGGACAAATAATTACGTTGCAGAGTATATTGAAACCGAACGCTTACATCGTGACTCAGGGACCTATGGAGAACACCGTGACTGAATTCTGGAGGATGGTCTGGCAGGAGAAGGCTTGCTGCATCGTCATGCTGACGAAAACCTTCGATTTCATCAGGGTGGGTAGCCGAAGCCAACGTTTTGTTATTTAATTGGTGGGTCTAGAGGTTGGTTAAAGTTAGAGAGTGCAGTAATTCAAGCGGACTAACGGGACAAACGACTGATATCTATTTGGAACATCGGTGCTCGCGATAAAGGCGCTAGAAATTGAACAAACGTAAATCGTTTTAAAAGCCACGTTGTTCTTCTTCCAATTTATTTCAGATTCCGGTTAAATAATCGTTTGATTATTATTAAGAATTAATTTGTATTAATTATTAATTGATCCGTTTAGTACCATTAATATTTGTATTATCATTTACAATTGGTATTGGTAATATTCGTATTATTATTTACAGTATTTAGTATTACAGTTATTTATTATTTATTATTGTTATTTATTATTATTTTATTATTGTTTAACACTACGGATAGAGATCGATTTGTCTCTTTTTCTCGTTTGTAATTTCTAAAATTTTTATTTTATTTTCCGTTTCTACGTACGCTTCCTTTTTCTATTACGCAAGAAAATTTCCTGTCGTTCGCAAGAGAAACTATTTAATCTGTGATTTTGACGTTTCATTGATGTTGCATTTATAAAAGATACGACACGATACGAAATGTACAAAAATGTACTATAGTATTATATGTGGTATTATAGTTTTTGCATTAATGCATGATACATTCGCAGTGTGCAATGAAATTTTCAGATATTATACTATCGTTTGCATAATTCCGCGTAAACGTTGCACGTGTAAATAATATACATAATAGTTCGTGCAAATATTTTCGCAAGTTGGTGTGTTTTCCCTTCGGCTCGCGTTCGTTTATTATAAGACACGCTGTACTGTAATGTATGCATGTATATTTCCACACGTGTATGGAAATTTCTGTCCGAAATTACACGGTTTTCACGCTGCACGCTTCTTGCGCAATGTTACACTATACACATGTACACTCCGGCTCAAAAACACTTGGATATCTTTCGTTTTTAATATATTTATTACAAATAATGAAACTGTATTTATTGCAAATAATGAAACTTTCATGTTACACGTGTATTTTGCAACACAATTCTTAATGTACTACGTGTGCATTTGTGCTTAGAAGTTCTTAGGATAAATGTAATGGATTTCAAAACTCTCTAGAGATATTAAATAGTACTTTATATAAAAAAAACAATCCATAATAATCGATAATAATGACAATCTATAATTTGAAGTTTTATAATAAATTGAAAATAAAATGTTTTAAATTTTATGATAAATGTCAAATTTTATAATGTGCAATTTTAATATAATATCATATATATATAATATTAATATATATTAATATTAATATCATATATATATATATAAAATTTTATTTTTGTATTATTTGCAATATATATATATATATATATATAAAATCGCAAAATAAAATTTTGTAATATCCTAATATATTAATAATAATAAATAATTAATTAATATTATATATAATATATTATTATTTATGTTATTTAATATATTAATATTATTATATATAACGTGTATAATATATACATACATAGTACATAGATTCCTTTTTGTATAAGGCACTATTCAAATATCTCCAGTTTTGAAACAAATACGGAAACTTGCGCCAAGGCTTTTGAACGATGGTGTACATAGAGCCGAAAAAACTGCACGTGGCGAGCTTTTGACACATGGCGTTCAATAAGCGAGAATATCCGCGTGGTCGCGGGTAACACGACGGAAACCTGACGTCGTGGCTGGCTGTGGCGCGGTGTCTAAAGAAGCCGTGCTTTCGCACGTGAAAATCGATGACGATGAGCGAAAGTAAACGAGTTTGGAAGTTGTTAGCAGCCACTTCACTTAGCCTCGCCTCTTTGCCTAGATAACGATGATCCACAACGACGAAGAAGAGACGTTTTCATTGGTCGCGCAACGGTCTGACGTTTTGCCTTGACGCACGAAAAAAAAAAAAGAAAAAAGAAAAAAAAGAAGAAATAAATTTCCCCGAATCACAAGTTTTCGCACAGTTCACGTAGGGGCGGATTTATTTTGCCACATGACGCGTGGAATGTATTATACGTAGATTTGGTTTTTCAATGATGGATCGTTGTCTTTTTATATTTATAACGAATAATGGTATGGTTGTTATTAATTTTTGTAATAACGGATTTCTATCAGAGTTTGCTGTTACTTTCATTCGCTATACTCTGACTTCTATCGTGGTTTTTTTTATTTTCGCGTGGACCGTGGAACAACTTTTCCTTCATCTCCGGTATTTTAACTTCAATTTAATTTTAATTTCATTTCATTTATACTTATTCATGCATCATTATACTTTTCTTATCTCTCTTCTTTCTTTTTTTGTATCATATCTTTTATTGTCGTATTGCAAAGGGATTCGTCCCGTCATATGACGAATGAATAAATAAATAAATAAATATTCAGGTTTCTTTGGCCATTAAGCAATGAAATGGTAGTTTATTGAGTACTTTAATTTATTTACTTTATTCAGCAAAGTATTGCTTTACTAGTTATTAAACATTAATAGTAATTTATCAAGTAATAAAACAGCACGTTACTCTGAAGTAACGTTTTTTATTCTTATTTGTATAATTAGAATACTCCTAATTAAAAAAAAAAACTTTTTTATCAAAACTTTCTTTCCATTCTCTTACGATACGCAAGTTGCGAGCGTAATAAAATCCAAGAAACATCTTAAAGTGAAATTTTTGTCTCTGCGAGCAGATTTATGAATAATAAAATCCAAAAACAGAATTTTCAAAGATTCATTTGGAGTGAACTCCTACACGAAAAGAGATTCCCGAGAGTAATCTTTTGAATTTCCAGTGTTTCATTTAGAGTGAATTTGAATTTCCCGCGTCAGTTTCAGGAACCTCCGTCTTTCTATAAAATCTCGAACATAGCATGTCATTCCCACAAATTTTGAAACGTTCGTACTAAATGACGTGCATCGAACTGTTTCACATTTCCAAACTTGTCCGTCGAATGACAACGAGCATCGAACAAATCAATTTCAGGTGATGTGCGTCCAGTACTGGCCAGCGAGCAAGGACAAGGACGAAGAATATGGCGGTATCGGGGTTTCCGTGATGAAAGAGGAAGAGCTCGCCAATTTCCACATACGAACGATAAGGCTTTACAAGAAGAACGACAATGACGTGAGTGTTCTTCTTTCTCTGTACAGAACGAACTGTGTGCGTATAAATAATGATGATTTTGAACTTTATAATGATAATTTTTCAACTTTACACGAACGTTAGGAACTTTATAATGATGATTTTTTAACTTTACACGAACGTCAGGAACTTTATAATGATGATTTTTTAACTTTACATGAACGTCAGGAACTTTATAATGATGATTTTTTAACTTCACATGAACGTCAGGAATAATAAAAATGCGTCGGTGAATTTGATTTGGAGAGAAAAGCATTTTGAAACTTACTTGGTGTTTTATTACTTTTTTTATTGTTGTTGGTGTGTTATTTATTATTATTTAAAATTTTAATAACAACACATATAAATATGATTTAAGTATATCTTATCGTGGATTATCAAATTAAATAACAAATTTCCGTATTACTTTATTTTAATGATTCAATTGTTTAATTATAAAAATTTTATTCTTAAATTAATATAATGGGGTATCTAATTCTAGCTTATGTTATTCAATTTTAATGTATTTTAATATAAAAATTTGCACTATTAGTATTAATTTGAATTTCACCTAGAAATTAATAAATTTGATATAATAATTTTTTTTTTTTAGTTTGATAAAATTTATAAACTTATTTATTTAGTTTGATAAATTATTAACTTATAATGTAAGTTTAACCGCCATTGCTGGCACTTTAATTTATCATTATTAATTTTCATTCCCCTATTTAATTTTCATTAAATTATACAGAACATTTAATTAATTTTGTTATATACGTATATATTTAATATAAATAAATTATATATAAAATATTAATTTAATTAACAATTTAACCATAATTGTATTTATATTTATCATAACAAACTTTTCATAAGCGTAATCATACAACATAGAGAGAAATTTAGAGTTTCGTCTTATGCATTATGGACATTGTAATATAAATTCTAGATTGCGATTATTTTTATTGTATATCATACGTTCTGAAGATTGTTGCGCCTAATTATGAATTAGCATTTTTATTGCTACCGTTTGCTTAAAATATAAAGTCGATTTGTCAATTAGATGTTTCTCAAAATTGTGTAATTTGTCAATACTCGTGTATTGATCAGTACACCAAACATAATAATATCTAGTCAAGTACACGCGAACACAATTAATTTTCAAATAAATTTTGCCAAGAAAGAAAACAAAAAACGAGGTAACCAACTTATCATTTTATCTTTAATCGTTTCAGATTTCATCACTTTTAATTTTTAACTTATTTCAAGAGACAGATGAATCTTTATTTGTCTGTCTCCCGGTTTACGATGGAGTTTGTTACCACTAATTTATCTTTGAGATCGATCTTCAACCTCTTTTCTTTAGCATCCGACTCGTATAATATCCCTGACTTTCTCCCTTATCTGGAGCATGCCTGTTTCTCATCGTCTCTTTCTAAATTTCTCCATCACATCTTCTCAGTACACACGTTCCAACGTTTCCTCGTTCCATCTACATGTTCCGCATTTCTGAGATTTATATCCAACACGTGATACATCGAGGCGAAGAACATAAACGTGCTTTATGCGCGCGTTTAATGCCCTTCTCAGTCGTAAATTTCAACATGTTTTGTGATTTCAAGCGGAACAACAATGGATAATAAACGTTTCACCACTGTTTTCCTCCAAGTAGCGATTTGCTCGAAACTTTTGCACTTCCTTCCCGACAGATCGCCAATTAATTGTGAATTTACTGCTTTTTCAATCGTGTTGCATTTATTAAAGAAAAATGGTGAAGTTAATTCGTAATTTCTGATAATGATTCTGCTACGAATATTTGTAAAGTTTGCCTTACGTTTGCGTGCTGGCAACTAATTGTAAGATTTCGCAAAAATATTCAATAAGTTGCAACTCAAAGTTAGTAAACTCATAAATTCATTGATATTGTTAGCGAAATTTTAGAAGTCACGAGATAGAAGTTATTAATGACGATAAATTAGAATTTAACGATATTTTAATGGAAAGCCTCCCAGTGGTGTAAATGATCGAAATATTCTCATTAATCTAATTGGCTTAATTAATTCAAATCATCAGAACAGAATCACTTGGCACAGAAATCATATATAAATTCACTAATATTATTAATAAAATTTAGAAAATAATGTACGACAAACTGAGAAAATTTAGAAAATAATATTTACAGAAAATTATATTAATATAATTTAGAAAATAATATTTATAGAAAATTATATTAATATAATTTAGAAAATAATATTTATAGAAAATTATATTAATACAATTTAGAAAATAATATTTATAGAAAATTATATTAATATAATTTAAAAAATAATATATATTAATAAATTAAATTATTAATACTAAATATTATATAATTTATTATTATATAATTATTATTAAATTATATATTTAATTATAATTTATAATATATTATTATAAATTTATTATTACATAATTGATACGTATAATAAATTTATATTAATAAATAGAAAAGAATATACATTGATAAATTTAGAAAATAATATAAATTTAATACAAATTATTAATTATCGACGCAGGAGCCACACAATCACTCCAATAATAAGTTTTTTATCGCCTCGCTGGGGATAACGAAAGAGTGACTGAAACACTCATCGCTCTAACTACTCTAATTCACACCGTGTACCGTGAGGGAAATTATACAAAGCAAGCATCGTGCGACGAAACGACTCAGTTAAAACTGGAGGAGGGAGGATTCTCGCAGAAATTCGAAGGCCTCCTCTTGCATTATATTGCTTCCGCTCTCCATTGTTTCCGTCCATTTTAATAAAATTAAGCCTTAACGTAACAGTCTCCGTTCGAGCAAACTTATCATCGCTCCCTCTCCATCGTTCTGTTCCCCGTTCGGTATCGTTTTGCATTCACCCAGTTTCAGCGACGTCCACCACTTCCACCCGTAGTTAATTCCGGCGAACTTTTTATACTGAAACTTCCATCTTCCTTTCGCGAGAGGCGGCGAGAAATTCGCAAGACTGTCCGCGCTCGCCGTTGCGCTCACGGAGTAATACAGAGTTTCCAGTTTGCACGATATTCCGCCAGTGGAAGACTTCGTTATCCTATTGAGGATCATTTCGGCCCCTCTTGCATTATACAGAGTGCGATTCCTGTCACGTAATTCATGGCGATTTGTCGAGAGTTGGCGATCGATGGGAAGATTTTCTTTTTTTTTTTTATATGGGAGTTTAGAGTCGCATCGACTACGAGGTCTTTAGCGACGTGCTGGAATTATCTCTTTATAACTGGTCTAGTAATTGGGTCTCCTTTAGGTAGTTGATAACGTTTTTTTTTTTTTTTGTTGTTGTTTCTGGCAGGTTAGAACGGTGTTTGGGTTTAATCCGTATTTACTTCTTAGGTTTCGGTATCTTCTGCATTCACGTAGCAGGTGTTGGGTGGCGATTTGTTGGTTGCAGGTGTTGCAGAAAGGTGGTTCTGTTTTGCTTAGGAGGTATTCGTGTGTGATCTTGGGGTGTCCGATTCGAAGTCTAGTCATAGCTATCCTTCCTTTTCTGCTTATATCGTTGTTTGGTATTTTTTGGTAGAAATGGTGTGCTACGTCGTGCATTTTGGTTCTATTCGTCGTAGTCCAAATTCTGTTCCATTCTTCTATTTCCGCTCTGGTCGTTGAAGCTAGTAGGTCTTGGTGTTGGATTGGGATGTTGGCTTCTTTTGTTCGGTCTGTTGTTGCTTCTTTGGCTAAGGAGTCGGCTTTTTCGTTTCCTTCAATTCCTTGGTGTGACGGGATCCAGGTGATTATTATTTGTTTATGGTCGTTGGTAAGTTCGGTGTATGTTTCCTGAACCATTTGCATGACTTCGTGCTTTTTGGTCGTATTTTGGTGTTTGTTATCGCGTTTATACTCCGATCTTTTATTTTATGTAACTGCTGGGAATTTCAGGTGCCCCTTAAACTTTCTTAATTAATTGATGGATCTGAGTTTCATCTTCTTGTAACCAATAATTTTTAAAATGCCACGCTAACATTCTAGCCTAATTTTTATATTTTTTCACGTTATCTTTACATAATGAATTCCTTAGAACAGTACTGTAATACACCAGCGTATGTTCATGAATTGTAATTAATTCAAGTGACGCAATTGTTTAATGTTCGAATCTATTTGGGAGGTATTTGCAGCCGCCTCTACCCCCCAGGGATAATGCCACCGCAAATTTTCAGCTGTTGACGTTGACATCATGCACCTGGTTCTCGAAGGGCGATGCACTATCGCTTATTAAACGTGATCAAACTGTTGTAGAATCCGTTGAATATGTAACAATCGCGAGAAACATTTCCATACGCGTGCAAACCTTTGTAACAAGGTTCTTCCTTTGAAACTGAAATTCTAGCAAATTAAATGGGAAATTAACATGGAGCGTGGAAACATTCAATTGCCAATTATATAGAGTGTAAAATCTCTACAACTTGTTATTTAATTTATATAAATTATAAACGATTGCATCGATGCTAAAACTACCGACGACTAAAAGTAGAAACATTAGAGTGTCAAGAGTAGGAGAAAATTCACGATAACAGCAAAGAACAGAAAATTTTATTATATACGTTACACTTCTGAAAATGAAAACTTCTCTGAAAAATTATCTCTGCTGGTTAATAACTTACATGGTTAATTATTTTTATATAATTGCGATATTCCAGGTAATTATAATTCTAGTAAGAAATTCTATTCAATTTCTAATAATAAATTACCTCTACACGACTACCTCCATACAAAGATTATTAATACAAAGGTAATTATATAATTGCATTTAATCTTCCGCGTAATTTTTATTTCCACGTAACCTAATATCAATTTTGTCGTACTCCTCTCTCGACGCTGTTCAATCCAGAAGCCCTAGAAATTTCAAGGATTCTTCCTCCGTAAACAGAACGATGTCGTTTACTCGACATCGTCAGGTTAAACTTAAATAACTTCCCGAGACTTTTGTCTTAGACTCTCGCTTCCAAGTACGTAATTCAATAAACGTAAAGCTCTCATTTCTCCTCTCCCCCTCCTCTCCCTTTCTCCAGACCTGGAATTCTTGTATTAATACGAAACTTCAATTAAATATTCACTCGGCCAAAGGCGTACTGTTACTCGCGCGACGCCGGGACGTCCTTTATCCTGTTCCTTTTTCGCCGGCGGAAGTCGATTTCAACGCGACGACGACGGGGGGCCATTCTAAGCGAAAAAGAGAACTGAAACGGTGGCAATGGAGGGGAAAGAATTCCAGAAGTAAAAGGGGGGACGTTGATAAGGCTTTGCGAAAGAAAGGAGCGACAGAGAGAGGCCAATATACCCCAAATTTAAGAGGGGTATTCTGGTAATCCGGCTTAACAAAAACAATTTCTTTTTTTACATTTTTTTCGAAGTACATGCTTTCGAAAATGCCCATGTAAAAGGATTTGTTTGAATTTGTGAAATTAGATGTAGTGCAAAGTTATAGATGTTTAAAGAAACGGCGTACTGCTCGCGACGTAAGTGATGAATATTTTAAAATGTTTTTCTCAAAAAATATTTTATTTTATAATATTGTTATTTATTTTTATATTATTATTAGTTTATAATTTTTTATTCTTTTGTACTGCTCGACTGATTGTACGTATGAATGTTTTTGTACAACGGGTAACAAAAACTTCGAATGTGTTTCTCTCAAAAAATATTTTATTTTATAATATTGTTATTTATTTTTATATTATTATTAGTTTATAATTTTTTATTTTCTTGTACTGCTCGATTGATTGTACGTATGAATGTTTTTGTACAACGGGTAACAAACACTTCAAATGTGTTTCTCTCAAATTATATTTTTTAAACTGGCTGACGGGATATCTCACGTTTTTTAGTTGACCGATTGACTTGAAATTTAAAGGAGATCTTCATCGATATCTTTATCGCGTAAACCACGGATTTCAAAATCTGATGTTCTTTTTCTATTTTTTTTTTTTTTTTTTTCTTACCATCCAAAAGACGAAAAGCACAAGAAAAATCAATATTTTTACTTCAAAATGCTGCCATTTTTTTAATTTTCGAAATTTCGCTGTTTCCGTGGTTCGTGCGATAGCTATACTTATACTAATTAAGATGCATTTTGGTTTTTCCGTTTCAAATAACCAGGTGGACTGGAATCACGTTCAGCCATTCGAACCCGTTTTTTAAAAACATGCTTTATCTAAGGCTATATAATTTCCACAACTTTCGTTAAAAAAAAAATTGTAAATACTCTTCGTAGTATGAACGAATCTATATGCGAAAACTGCATACGAAAATGTATCATTCCTCAGAAAAAAATCCCCAAAAAGTCGATTTTTTCAAGCCCGATTACCAGATGAGCCCCTTAACCCTTTGCGCTGGCAACTGATTGCGGACCATAACGAATGACCGAAACCGTATACAATAATTCGTCGCTTTCTTTTTCTTTTGAACTCGTCGGTATAATATCACTGGATAGAAATGATTGTAAAGTAATAAATTTATCATTTGTTTTGCCTATTTTGTTTGACTTAAATATATAATTTTGCTTATTATAACATGTTATGCTATAATATATAATATATATAACATAATCTATGTTATGCCTAATATAATACCTATATTCTAGTTAAATACATTGACATTTAGTGTATTTATCGTTAAATTATATTACAGATTAAAGCTGTATTAACTTTTAAATAAAATGAAATTTTTTATAGTGTTAAAAAACAACATTACTTATAGGTATCCTTAACCACTTGCGCTGGCAACTGATTGCGGACCATAACGAGTGACCGAAACCGTATACAATAATTCGTCGTTTTCTTTTTCTTTTGAACTCGTCGGTATGATATATCACTGGATAGAAATTGTTACGAAATAATAAACTTATCGTTTGTTTTGCCCGGGTTTTACATTCAAATATATTTAAAACTGAGAGAAAATGTTGCAATGTTGGGACAAAAAGTTCTCGACGTGGCACGTCATTTCAGCGCAAGAGGTTAACGAGTTTTTGTACATCATGCTAACTCTATAGTAAAATCAGCCATTGTTCCTTTGGAAACATTTATTAATCGTCTCTCTCTCTCTCTCTCTCTCTCTCGATATGTAATCTCTCTGTGTGCGTGAAAGAATACATCGTATGTATGTGCGTATGCATATACCAGTTAATTAATATTATTAATTAGTAAATTATCGAGGTCCTGGCGCACAATTGAATCAATATTAATATGAATTGAACGTTATTGATGCTGTTTGTTGTGAAATTATTGTGGGCAAGAGAATAAACAAAATTCAGCAACTATCAGCGAATCAACTGACCGTTCTTACGTGAAATTCTGCGATTTATTTATTCCTCTGTCCATTTCATTCGCGTGTTTCTAAAGTTTCGTTTTTGCAAAACGACGAGAAATGATAATAAAATAAATAAGAATCTACAATTTTATTTTCGCAAATTGCCACTCGATCATCTGATTATTTTAAATCTGATTGTCCTGAACTTTTTTTATATAATCGTACAACAGACACTTTTTTTATATAATTGTACAATAGAAAGTTTGTTGTACAATATACACTTTTTTTATATAATTGTACAATAGAAAGTTTCAATTGAATTTTGGCATCTATCATCCAGAAATTATTCTAAATAAATAAAATATTTTAGTTATAATATTATATTATATTATACAGTGTAATATTATATTATAATACTGTATATTCTAGTATAACATTATATTATACAGTATTATATTATATTATATAGCATCGTTTGGTATTATTACAATTTTAATGTTATCGCAAGAAAAACCCTGTTGTCGAAACAAATAAGATTCTTCGATTAACCTTCACAAATTACAAATCAACCAATTACCCTTCTCGAATTAATATAAAACTCCCGCTCTACCATTTTCTTTACATTGTATTCAAATGATTTATATAATATTTATATATATAATATATAATACACAATAATAATATAATATAAATAATATATAACATATAATAATAACATATTTATATCTCGCATTCATATGTAACACTTTAAACATTTTAAATCGACAAAACGCTGCAAAACATGAAATGAAACTTACTTTACAACGTGTCAACAGTTAATGTCATCAGCTGCTACAATTATCGTAGAAAATAACTGCTGGAATTAATAACAACGATAAACTGAACTTCGTCGTGTTTACGCGACTTACAATCAACAAAGAGCGTTGTTCTAGTTTACAGGAGCAGTTCTCTGCGATGCACTGAAGCTCCCATCGCGAACCTTTTGTTTAGCGACTGATCCCCGAGTTTTACACCAAGCTACCCAGAAACGCGAAAACAGAATTTTTCAAACTTCCAACGAGCTGGAGTACCGTTGAAACGCTCGCGTTTCCTTTCGCGGCAAACGCCGGACATTGTCGAAACCGACGTATCGTTTCTAGTGTAACGTTTGCACCAGAATCGGTGTAAACAAGAGAATCTTCCACAGGAAAAAAAAAGGAACACGCGATTTCTCTCTCTTTTTTGTTTTGTTTCTTCTCCATTCTTTATCGCGCGATTAAAAAGTAATTGGCACCTTCCTTCAATTGTGAAAAGAAAATAATGTAACAAGAGTGTAGATCCTTTACGATTTTGATTTGACGAACTTCTCTTCTTACGCCGAAGCCAAAGAAAATTATGTAAAGTGTCAAGAATGGAATTTTGTCGTAGATTTACATGGATTTTATAGACTTGT